CAATTACACAAAACATGTAACAGATATACAGATTTTCTAGCTAGAGAAATACAACCAAACTTGACCCCATTGCTATCTGAATACTGGATGTTTGTGAGAACTACCAGGTTATATATGTATGTGACCAGTCAAATTGTTATGTCTAAAAATCATAAATGTTAACATTTTCTGATCTCTGCCAGACGAGAGTCATGTTTGCAGGTCCAAAAAAAAGTGAGAAATCTTTGAACACAGCTGGAAATCCATTCATTCAATTCTGTTTTGGCACATAGTGCAGATAAACCTTGATGACTGCTGGAAAAAGCATTCTTCTATAGCTGACGATCTGTTTCTGGGTGGATAGGCTGTTTACAAGTCTTGATCTAAGCACGCATAAGGGTAAGAATAAGTATGTAAACAGTATGAGTGATCCATGTGACTAATTTGTTAGTAATGAAATGCTTAATCATCACCCTTGTGTCTGATCCAACAGATGCTGAATGCTGCTAGTAATTATCATTTATATATAGCATTAACAGATATTTAGTGTAAAAGATTGTATTCCATTGAAACTCTTTAGTCTCAGTTTGTATAATGAAGGCAACATTTATTTAATGAAGACAATTAACCTCAATTGAAGTGACACATACTTATCCGTCATCTGACAGGAGATAATGTAGAGGTTTCTAGGAAGGAGGCCTTTCAGGAGCAGGCTGCAGCTGCTGGGACAGCTAATCCTTCCTTGGTTGCACTGAGGAAAGAAGTATGATTTTTTTCTGGTAGCAGCATGATCCTCCAGCACATTTCATGTTAACAGAGCATGCACAGACTGACAATTCTATGTACAATCATATGGCAGATTACAGCTCTCCCATGCAACCAGATTAGGGTTATCTCCATCTTTGTGAAGAGCTAAGACCTCACTGAGGTCTTTCAATTCTGCAATATGAAAACATGAATTTTTCATATTGCAGAATTTGAAGGTAATCTGAATTTTAGAATGTTACTCTCCTGAGTGGATTGCTTCTTTCCTTCCTTCAAGACGAATATTTTTATCCAGGTTTATGAAATGTGCCTTGTAGTACAGCAAGTTGTTTGATAAGCAATGAAACTAACACTGGTTTTCTTTGAGTCGTACATCCCCTACAGTCCCAGCCACACAACAGTAACCTCAGATTTCCCAGTAGTTCTGTTCATTGCAATGCACCCAGGTACTCCTCCAGTGCTTGGAGTCCTCTTTTACAGTACTTTTCCTCCCTTCCCGTATTACTGAAGTTCCTTGTCTTTATTCCCCTTCCCTGTCCTCACTGCTCCCACCACCCCTACCAGCCACCCACATCTTTTTGCTCTGTTCAGGCAAGAGTTAGCAAATGATGTGTCTGGTTTGCAACCTTGGGCTCTGATTGCCAAGTTCAGGAGTTCATCTGGACGGAGCAGCTGGTGGAGGAAAACTCAAGTAAGGGCAGACTTCTCTTTGCCATGTGTGTGTGTGTCAGGGGGTGGTGGTGGTAGATGCCACCAAGTGCTGCATTCTCTACAAGCCTCCTGTTACTTACTAAAGGTGCACAAACTTAGTAACTCTATTTTAAATCAGGTAGAAAGTAGCCAAAGAACTCAAAGGCTGACAGCATGAAATTCACTTACGTTAGAAAAGAGGCTCTGAACATTCTGCAGGAGGGAAAAAAAAGTTTTCCCCACCTTGTTTAGTCTGCTGTAGGGAGGGAAAATATCCCCCATTAATTTTAACATATTTGGTTTTATGTGGGTGTAGTAGGTAGACTGATGCAGGCATTGTTCAGTGAATTTATAATCACAGAAAGCCAATCTTTGCCTTGTGAACTTACAGAAGTACTTATGTGTACTTATAGAAGCTCTTCTTGTTGCCTTAGGCTTTGGGAATCACTAAACGGCTTTAATATGTTCCATTTTGCATTTTTAATTTATCATATGAAGCAACCTTAATCTTTTGATTTATAGTTCACTCTCTTTTTCTTCCTGTTTCTCCATTTTACGTATAATAAAATCTGGATCATAGCAAATCATCAGCCTTGTTAATGACATTTCTTGATCGGGAGACAGGGAATTCTCTGAGAGCAAGTATTTGCACTCTACCATGTTGTGGTCTAATAACTTTCTAAGGGACATGCTGTGAAAGAGCTATGCTTGAAGCAGAATAAACAGATGTGCTTTAACACTTCTTGAAAGTTGAATGCCTTCAAGGAAGACATATCAATGGCAATTGATAAACATGGTATTCACTCTGTTTCTATTAAATAACCTGATTAAATCTGCAATATCAAAATGAAAGTTTAGAACTTCTGTATTCTCTGTCTTTTAATCTTTCAGCTGTGCTTTTCCTACAGAATTAAAAAAGCAGAAATTACTGACAGAGAATGCACAGCCTCAATGTTAATATTTTTTTGGTAAGACAACTATTCCTAAGCTTTGCCCACTATTTGCCATGCTGAAAGTGTCTTCTGGGTAATGAGAGGTATTCATTTCACTGTGAAACTTCCATCAGGTGCTGGAACAAAAAGAGCAAACACAGTCTTTGGATTTCTAAACACAAAAAAGCAATGAATAGACAACATTACTGTCCTGTAGAATTAGATACTGAGTCTAGTTTTGGTGTATATGTTTAAAAATAATGTCCGAGACATAAGCTACCAAGGTGATCTCAAGTCTAGAAAATCTGTCTTGAGAAAAGTTAAAGAGTGCAACTTATATAGTATTTAGGCAGATTTTTTTAAAGCTACTCAGTATAGTTGGATGGTTAATCAACGACTGTTTATAAATTTTCAACCCTAAGTTTTTGATGGAAGATTGGACCTCTGCCAAAAAATCTCTTTCACTCAAAAGTACCTTTTTATCATGTGTTTTTGAAATGCCCAAATTATTCATATATCACTTGAGTTTTTCAGTGTACAACTGACACATTGCAATGCTTAATCACATTGCAGTTCAGGGACCCTGATGCATCCCAGTGATGAAACCTGAGTCCTCCCTTCTGCAGCACCACGTGAAGGAGCTCTCCACTTTGTCCTGCCACCAATGAGCCAAGGGACGTCTTGCCTCATAGGCAGTGCCTGTCTGGAGGCTGGGAACTGACCTTTTGCTGGGCATCTGCACAAAACTCCCTCAAGGCATGTCATGATTCCTTGAGACTTATCATTGACGTAGTTTCTCTCACCCTGATTTTTTACTTAACACTGTAAGTTACTTAACACTGGGTAGGTGATCTAAGCATAGCTGCCAGTACAATCCCAACTGTAGCTCACATGTATCTTAGAACCTGTTTTATTAGGGAAGAAATATGTTTACTTAACACTGTGAGTAAAATTACAGTTTTACTCTGCAGCCTGCCATTAGATAGAACAAATATAATTTGCATGCAGCATGCTGAGAGCTACTTAAATGACAACCCCCTTTTAGATATGCTGTCTGTGTGTGACCGTTTAGAGGATTTAAAGAGCAGAAAGAATTTCTGAGGAAAACAGCTCAGGATTTTTTTTTTTTTTTTAAGTTGTCTTTTATTGTTGTAATTGCGAGTGCAATTACCATCCTTGAGACATGCTCATGGTCCTGGCAGTCTCACAAATCCTTGGGTCAGAATTCAGTTCTAGCCTACAAATGGTAATGTACTAATCTCACATCTCTGATCTAGCCAGTGCTGCAACATTAACACGGGCAAACTGAAGAGGTGTGGCTTGCAAAGTGATGGATAAAGATGCAAATTGTCTAGAAGTGAGTTTTTTAATGTAAGAGTTCAGTTATTTAAAATGAGAAAACACTTGTGTTCTCAGACTGACACTGTCTCTTTAATAAAATGGCTTGGTCTCCCGATCAGCCCTGGCTAAGTGCCTGACTATCTTTGTTTAAACCTTGGCCAACTAAACAGCAATAATGGACCATAAAAGATCTAGATGCAAGGTAGAGCCATTTACAAGTGGATAGACTATTTATTTACAGAATGCTTTATTTTTGTAAACAAAACATATTTTCCAGTATGACCTGCTGGACATATTTTCAACACTGAGAGCTTATTCAATCTACAAATTGCTTTTTGAATGCCTTCAAAGGTAAGAGACTTAGTTATTTCCTTTCTATTTTTAGAGGACTGCACTGATGGTTTCTGTATATGTAACTGCTTGATGGACTTGAAAAGAGGATTTAGGAAGAATATTTAAATTTAGTATATTATCTTTGTTATTAATGATATTTAAAATTAATTATTGTAAATTACAGGCATTTTTTGTAAATCAGTTTTAATGGAGTTCAGTTTTCTCTAGAAATATGTTGAATCACTGGCTTAAATGTTGTAATGTTCATTTTATTGGTTTAAATTGTCATTATAATAGAATATGGTCTTTATGGAAAATATTGCACACAGTCTGTTACAGCCATGTAACATTAATAATGCATTCATGTATTGAGTTTCATTACTAAGCCATTGTTTCTTAGAAGTTTCTTAGTTGTTCATACTGGTGCTCCAGGCCTAGGTAATATATCTGCATCCCAAAACACCCAGATCTTTGTTTATTGCTAACGATTAGGGATTTCTAGAAACAAACTATATTCTATTTTTTCTGTAATATTTCTGCTAATTTAATATAATTATTTTAATAACAAAGTATGTTAATAGCAATATGCATTAGTAACAATTTCTTTTACCCTTCTTTGTTAAATGTTCAAATGAAAGCTAAAGATAGCACTGTCTTTTTTTAAGAAAGAAAAGGGACCACTGTTTGTTCTACCCATATTTCTTCCCTAATAAAACAGGTTCTAAGATACATGTGAGCTACAGTTGGGATTGTACTGGCAGCTATGCTTAGATCACCTACCCAGTGACTTTTTATAATTGTTTTTTATATGTTGTCTCTAGAATTGTGCCTCCTACAAATGTGTATGCTGTATGTAAAGTATCTGTATTTATTTATTTGCATCTATGAATGAAGTATTCACAGGTGGTTTTTTCCTTTTAACAGGAAGGAAAAGTCATCTAATTTGGGATCAAAGTCACTATGTGGAAAAAATATTTTTTCTTTTGCTTTTTACTTCTGGCTGTGACAACAGACCAGATAGTATACGGGCAAAACAGAAAGAAAGGAAAGAATTCTCACTCTCTCATGCAAAAAGATGAAGGTAGAACCATTTTCTTAAAATTTCTGATTGATCATGTTCTATGTCTCCACATATTTCAGGATAATTAGCTAGTAATTGACAATTTATGTATGCATTTATAAAATGTGATTTATTTTGATTATCAGGCCTGGAAAGTACTGTGATGACATTTACTTGGTCATGGACTCCAGTTTGATCTGTGATTTTCATTGACACGCATCTCTCTTTTAAGATAAATGATAACAAGCCTAATTTTTAGTTTGAAATTTCATGTGGGAAATTTTGTATACAAAATCAACTAAAATGCTAAAACAATCCCATCAAGACCCTAATTTGAAAGTTTTTGTCTGTACGCTGTATTTAATAATACTGCTATGAATTAAAGTAACTTAAATTTAGTTACTTGACTTCAGTAGAATTTCTTGGCATTTACAGTGAAATGTATCCTTAGAATTTTTACTGGGAAGACAGAGGAATCCTTGGGAAATGATTTCAGGATTGGGATTCTTGCAGAGAATTATCTGAAATGTGTTGTGCAGGTGTGCCCATTATTCATAGATCTAACTTTCTTGTTCCATTACAGGTGATATGTGTCTCGTTGATATAGTCTTTATCTTGGACAGTTCAGAAAGTGCCAAAAATCAGTTGTTTGATTTACAGAAGAATGTTGTTCAAAACTTAACTGACAGCATTTTCCAGATGAAGGCAGTTAAGTCTCAGAAGTATAATGTCAAACTAGCAAGTATGCAGTTCAGCAGCACAGTCAGCATTGATCATCCCTTTACAGCCTGGAAAAACGTGCAGAATTTTAAAGAGAAGATCAAGTCTCTGGGCTTTATTGGCCACGGCACCTACTCCTATTATGCAATTTCCAATGCCACTCAGCTGTTTAAAACCGAAGGTCGTAGAAGAAGTGTGAAAGTGGCTTTTTTGATGACTGATGGTGTAGATCATCCAAACAGCCCTAATGTCCAGGATATAGTCACAGCAGCTAGGAGTCTTGGAATACATTTTTTTACCATTGGCCTTTCTAAGAAAAAAGTCCAAGAAGAAAAATTGCGCATGATATCTGGTGATTCATCCTCTAAACATGTCTTATGCCTGGATGATCAGAACCTGATAGTTGATGTAGCATTGGAACTGGTAAGTAATGCTGATGTTAATCTTGTCACCCATCTATCCATGGCAGATTTCATTTAACTTCGATAGGTAAGTCCTGAAGGCAGTGCAGAGGTTTGCAGGTGAACCAGGGCTGGAGCTGGCCTCAGGTTTGGAAGTTCAGGGAGGTTGTAAAGATCATGTGGGACATCTGCAAGAGCTGGGCTCCAGCATTGGTAGCAGAGAAGGTCAGTAACTATGGGCTTAAGATTTAACTTCAAGAAAGTCTGATGAAGCCAATACAATTTTTTAATTGACTTGAGTGGGATCGGGTTTCCAAAGTACTGTAAATCTGCCACTGTAGTTATTCATTAAGGGCCTTAGCTCTCTGCCCTTCTAGCGCGGCATAAGGCACACATAAGAAAAGGCAGGGAATACTGCTTAATTAATTTCTTAGTTTAGAGTAGACAAAAGTGTTTCTGTGAGAGAGATGTCAGCTGGACTTGACCTTTCTCACTTCTAAGCAATAATGTGCAAAGTATTAGGGCAGCCTAGGAAGTGTTTGGGGTTTAAAATCCTAGAAAATATTTTTAAGTAATAGAAGACTTTGCAAATAATAAATTAAGGCAATTTGGAGGAAAATAAGTCTTAGAAAATGCAATGGCTTTAATTAGGGAGTAGTCCATACAGAATTTATGTAATATTTCTGTTGTCTCCTAAAGGTGGTAAAAAAATAATTTGGAAAATTTAAAGTCAGAAATGGAAACTTTCTAGTTGATATGTGTAAAAATGAATGATTATGTTGTGCAATTAAGCACATGGCTAGCAATCTCAGATACACTAAGTGAAAGGCATTTCTGAAATAATTCCTGTTGTTACAAGTCTATGTTTTGTACCTGGGAAGGTATATATTTACAAAAGAAAAGTTCTTCCCTGAGATCTCACGGAATGGTGCTGTCGTGAAGTATGTTTTTGTGGTGCGTGTCTCTGCTATGTGAGGAGCCAAGACAGAGGGAGCTTCCTCCTCCCAGCCGCTCTCCAAGGAGTTGCGTGCCTGGACAATAATAGCTCGGCTGCACTGATCACTGATGGAGGGAGAGGGTATTTTCCAGCATGTGAAGTGTGTCTCTGAGCGTATGATAATACTTTAGAAGGTAGCTTGTTCTCATGGATAAGCCTCATAAAATCACTGAGTCCTTCCCATATATATTTTGTCAGTAAGACCTTCCATAGTAAGGCCTTTCATTAGGAAGTCTTTTCATATTCCCCTTGTTAGCATTGTGCCTTAATATTGTCTATTTAGCTGTCCCATTACATCTCATTTCTTTTCTGATCATTATGGGTCACGTGAAGCAGCCCCCTATTGCTACCGGAGAGCCCTTTTTCATATGAGTAGTTCCACAGGCTGGTTCTTACCACTGTGAGGAAGGGATGAAGGATGAAAGTATTCACATTCTTTACCATTCACCTTGGAAATTCTGTAAACTAGAGAAGAAAAATGGTTAAATTAGTACTCTGTTAAAATAAATCTATATGAAAGTAATATTTTTCTTTTCTTTTCAGGAAGCCATGCTTCAGAAGCAGGTAGGTTTTTTGAGTTTTGTGTGTTTTGATTACTCTTATTCATACTAGATCTTCTGATGTCTGCTTCTTCTGTAATGCAACAATACTCCAGGATTAATCAACCTTCCTTCCCTGAGTAAAGTTTCCAACCGTGGTTGCTTTTATTTTAACTTTCATCCATTTCTTCCATCCCTTCGCCTGAGAAATCTACAGCTTCTGTTCATTGGTGGGTAGTATCGACAGTAAGACATAAAGAACTCTTCCTACCAGAGTGGAACAGGACTAGTACAACACATGCAAGTTCATCAGTGGTCTCATTAGAAAACAATAGCAATATCAAAATTGTCCAAAAATTATGTAGGATTTTACGGTACTATATACTATGTATATGCTACCTTAAATGTTTGTAGTTACAGTAGTAACAGATTTATTTGTTTTTGTTATAAATAAATCAAGCAACTGATTTTGATTAGGCTATATAGAAGTGTAATGTTGATCATATAAGAAATATATATGTTAGAAGATAATTTATTTCCTGTTATTCCACTTTTATGTTCTCTAGTCTGTGGCTAGGCAAAACCAGAGTTTTTGCTTTAAGAATTTGAAATAACACATTTTAAAAATGTTCTCCTTAATGTTTCTATTAACCTTTTAGTGTATGCAGAAGAACTGTTGGTGTGAAAAGGGAGTAAAAGGAGACAAAGGTGATTCTGTAAGTATGCATTCATTTGAAAAGCCTCCAGAATTGGTTACTGTGTCTGTAAAAATCAAGACATTAGCTGTGCATGTACTGCAGAAAGAAGTGATGTATCATAGCGTATCACTGTGAAAGGACACTGTTATAAAAGCTCAGAAAAAAATCTATCCATAATCACATACTATCTTAGAAATATATTTATATTATTGGGTAATAAAACACTGTGGATAAATAGGTACATGATTTTGAAGCCCAAATCAAAAAGTTATTCTTGAATCTTACAATGAGGAAGGAAAGGTCCATTAGACAAAAGGTTTACTTCCACCAGCAGCTTCTATTTGTCTAAGGGTTAAAGGTTCAAAAGATTGAGGCTGATGGCGTATATGAAGAATGAAGTCTAAAACTCTGCCTCCAACACTCTTTTTTCTCCTGTGACACTTCAACACATAACTGTTTCTTGGCACTGGTAAAGACGAGAGAAGCGGGAGTTCAGATAGTGTGTGACCTCTTTGATCCCTTTTGTATCTTTAACAGCTCCTCCAGAGACAACCAAGGTACATACAGAGGTTTTTGCCTTTCTCCCTAGACACTAAGCAACTGATCAACCGTATGTGTAGCAGGTTATGACAGCAGGGCCTATCATCCAGTCCCTTGGCTCGGGATAATGTGCATCTGGAACTAAAACCCCTGTTTCCAATTTAAAATTTAAGATCCAAGAATTTTCAGTTATTTTATCTGAAAGGATTAGATGCAACCTATTATATATGTATTTTTTATATATACACATATACACCAAGCTTTCTAGTCCCCACCTTCATGATCCTCCAAACAGGAATAATGGTGTAGTATTTTTTTATTTTGGGGCTGCTGAATATTGACACTAGGCTGTTCTGTGCATATCTTTTTTTTAAGCAGAGAAGATCAGATAGGGGTGGGTAACTCTGAAAAATGGGGAGGAGGAGCTGTGTATGTTTTTTGTGACAACATCCTGGTTAGATTTTCAAATGCTCTGTAGAAAATGTATTTATCATTGAATATTGATTTAAAAAATTCACAGATACCTTATAATACCAGGGTTTTTTTTTATCTAAGGGAAAGTAGTGTCACACATGCCATACCTGAATGAGTGTGGGTTTCTACGTAAGCTTATTCCAGAATGATTTTGGCCTGCCCCCAAGATACAGTCTTACAGAAACTGGAGAATTTTATCCTCACAATGGTAGTGACGTTTTCCTGCTTTGTTTCAGGGCAGTGCTGGTAACAGAGGGGAAAAAGGTGAGCCAGGACCAAAAGGAAACAAGGTAAAGTGAATTTAAAAAATAAAGCAAATTTCTATCTAGTTGTATTCAAACCATAGAATTGAATATAGCAAAAGAAAAGTATGTTAAAATATGATTTGAAAGATTGACTTTTGCTTTGAGAGGTTTATAGTTAGCTGCCTTAGAAATGAGAGAGAAAAATTTGAAACTAAACTGCTACCAAGTTAACACTGCCTATCATTCCAGTTTTTCTCTGACAGCAGAGGTCTTTGAATCTAGCTGAAGGCTCTCTAAGCTCCACAGGGCTTTCAAACAGTACACAAATCTCTTGAGCAGAACAGCTTGCTCTGATGACTAAGATTTCAGTCATCTAATAACAGTAGTTTTCTGTGTTAATGTTCAGGAATTGTGTGTCCTTGATTGTGGGGGGAACTGTGGATGTTCATAAATAGGCAAAGCAACTTCTGCTCCTTAAACAGTGTTCTTGGTTTTAGTGTAATAGTGATAAATAAAAGAGCAATACATATTCAGTTGTATTCCTTTGCTTCCAATAGGGTGATGCTCAAAAAGGAGATCATGGAGAAAAAGGTGAAGAGGTATGTGACTACTACAGTGCTAAATCGTATTTGGTCTTTTCAGATTATCTTCCAGACCCTGATTCACAGTTTAGTTCCACTGAACTGAAAATGTGTTTTCCGTTTTTCACACGTCTACTTTATTCAATTATTTAGAGCACCTCAGCTAAGTTCTGGTTTAGAGAAGCATCTATAGTGAGAGAAACAGTCTAGCCATGTGCTTAAGTGTAGAGATGGGATGCTACTGACAAAAGGAACTTTTGAAGCTATGTGATTTTGTAGTGACTTGCATTAGACTTATCCCAAAGATAGAACTGAAAATGTCATCACTAAAAATGTCTAGATAGTCCTCCAGTGGCTTCTGACATCTGGTATTTCTCGGCTTGAATTCTTGTTGATTCACAGTAGAAAGATTAACACTACTCCATGCATAAGATCAATTCAGTTTAGAAGTCCCATTTAAATGGTAGTGTATATCTGCTAAGAGGCTGGCAAACTGAGTGACATATTTACAGCTAATATTATGAGGAAAAATACACATGTAAATTTGTGGAGAATTAGATGTGAAATGATTCCAGAGAGATATTTTATTGTTGTGAATAGTTAAACTTCTGAAACGTAATTCTTTACTAGGTTTTTTTTCCTACTTAAATTAGCAGTATGTTACGTATTTGCTTTCTCTTTTATGATTTTTTCCTTTTTTTTTTTTTTAATTTTTTAATAGGGAGCTCCTGGCTACAAGGGAGACAAGGTAAGATTTTTATAGAATATAAGTAGTCTGAAAATAGATTGGCACTTGCTGACAGTGTATGTGAAAGAATGGAAAGAAGAGCTTGTCTTGTCTTTTTGTCATGAGAGCTCCTAATGCAATCCCTGGAAGTAAATTAATTACTTACATAAATGCTTGCAGACTGGCTTGTTGGAATTAAAAAAAAAAAAGATCAGAAAATGTAATCTAAATATAAACTGAAAAATGTCAAAGACCACAAATAGAGCTGCTGGAAGGAAAAAGAAAGTTGAGGGTTGAATAAGAAGTTAAATAGAAAGAATGTGAAATTGTTTACTACAAACACAAATAGATGTGGCTATCATTAGCTTTTAAAAAACTTACCACAAGGAAGTTTACTTTTAGGCTAATTATAACCTGCAAGGGCTAATGCTTGATCAAAAAAAATTTCAAGGTAGGCTCTCCAAGAAGCTAAAAAAATTATACACTTCAATGACTTGCAAGATACTAGAGCCGAAATTTACATTGCAAACTGGACCATCATAGGCAGGACAGAAACAGAGATAATTCCATTTTGACTTTGCTTGGTTTGGACACTTATCTCCCTACAAGGATTGTTAATAAAAGCGGTGCCTCTCTGAATCTTTGTATTCATTAGAAAAATGCTTCAGTCAATTTTATGGAAACATTTCATGGAAATGGGAAAAGTAGACTCATATGTCTGCTTTTCATATGTCTATTAATATGTTAAATCATCAGTAGAACGCATTAGTAAGTCTCTTTCTTCATTCCATTTCTACAATCTCACGATTGTTATTCAGGAAAATCTCAGACATCACAGTAATGAAATCAGAATACAGAGAGGATCTCTGGAGGCAGCGCAGCAAGGTGGAAAAACACAGCAAAACTTATTAGATATTAAATGTATTATCCTCTTAGGATGTAGGTTGGAAATTTTGTAGGCATTCTCAGAGAGAAATAGTATCTATCTTGAGTAGAGCAGACTGTGTCTTCTACAGACCATATCTAATGATGTCGCTCTCAGGTCCTCAGAATCTATTAAACCTCTTGTGCTACTGAACTGCTTGCACAGTCTTTAATGCATGTAGTGTAATCAAAACATGTTGTTTAGCTGTTAACCTTTTGATTTCTTATAAAGGGTGAAAGAGGAGAATGTGGATCCCCAGGAATAAAAGGGGAAAGGGTAAGTATAATTTTTATTTGAATGCTTTCACGTTGATGAAGATACTAGAAAATCATGTAACATATTCATAAACATAGCTTGTAAAGATTATTGTAAATTTGGAACATCTTATAATTCCCTGGTAGTAGAGGTACGTTCATAGTAGAAATACGATTCATAGAAACTGAACCCACAGTTCACCATATCCTTTTTTCCATTTTGCAGAAGAAATGTAGTCACATACCTAAAACAAAAGCTGTCCTGACCAATGCCAAGCCCTACTTACAAAGGAATGTGAGCATGTTACAGGGTTCACCATATTTTTTTCCTTAAAATGTTAATTGTAATTCAAGTGTATGAAGTTACATTACAATAGAAGCAGGTTCTTACACAACCTGAACAACTTTCAGGTCTACCAGCCCATCTGTGCTGATATGCATTCACACTTTTATCTAGTCCTCCTCTTCTTTTAACCTCAAGTGCAGAAGTGATACAAGTTAATATAGATATTCACCTGTTTTTTACACTCTGAAAGATGGAAAGATAATGTACTCCTGAGTGAGATAATAATGTATATTGAGTTCATGTAAGCAGGTTTGTACTTATATGTACTACAAACCACTCATCTATAGTTAGAGCTGTTAAGTACTACCAACTAGATTGCAATTATCATTTATTAAAGCACATTTCTTCAGTTTTAACATCCATATTATGCTTACCTTTATCAAAGACCAGCTTGAACAGTTTGCGGTTCCTGGAACCTGTTATTTAATGATGAATTTCAGGTTAGAATTAGGAAGTATTCAAAGCAGCAGTATTTGTCGCAAAGGAAAAAGGGCATTATACTATAATAAAAATGTAAAGGCTAAGGATATCTTGTGAGATGCTGGGGTTCAAAATGGCAGCAAGTGAGTCAGAAAAGACTGAAATATCAATGAAAAAGAAAGTATTGCATCTCTCAGAGGAATAAAGAAAGATCATAACTTCTTTGTCCAGGCAATATGTGAGAAATAGCACAAGGTTATGTGAAATGTCTACTAAGAAGATAAAAGGAAGCTGGCAAAGAACATAATCAAAGCAGCCAAGAAATCTGGATGTAGAAAACATATGCCAGGGCTGCTGGGAATTTGCTTGTTTCATTTCTGTTCAGGGCAGTGATGAAAAAAGTTTCACATCTGCAGAGGATCAGAGGTTATAATGGATTTCAAGAACTTAGTGAACAAATGAAAATTATAGTCACTTCCAGAATTCCCAGCTTCACATTTACAAATGCAGAAGATAGAACAAAATGATTTTTTTTTTTTTTAATGAAAGTAGTCTATGCTGGACAAAATCATCAGAAACAGAACATACATGGCCAAATGCTCCGAGAGGGATCTGGAGGTTCTGGTCGATGGCAAGTTGAACATGAGCCAACAGTGTGCCCTGGCAGCCAAGAGGGCCAACCATGTCCTGGGCTGCATCAAGCACTGTATTGCTAGCCGGTCAAGGGAGGTGATCTACTCTGCACTGGTGCTCTACTCTGCACTGGTGCGGCCTCATCTTGAGTACGCAGTCCAGGCTTGGGCACCACAAAACAAAAAAGATACAAAGCTACTAGAGAGTGTCCAGGGGAGACCCACAAAGATGGTGAAGGGTTTAGAGGGGAAGCGGCTGAAGCCACTTGGTCTGTTCAGCCTGGGGAAGAGGAGACTGAGGGGGGAATACGCCAGGGGAGGTTTAGGTTGGACATTAGGAAAAGGTTCTTCACCCAGAGGGTGGTGGAGCACTGAACAGGCTCCCCCGGGAGGCAGTCACGGCGCCAAGCCTGACAACATTTAAGCAGCATTTGGACAACGCCCTCAGACACATGGTATGATTTTTGGGGTTGTCCTATGCAGGGACAGGAGTTGGACTCAATGATTCTTGTGGGTCCTTTCCAACTCAGGACATTCTATGATTCTATGGCTCTATGAAATGTAAATTCAATATTCTGTGGTGGATCTTTAACTGCAGTGATGGGTATTGAAACGTAATTGGCAGTAGTGTTGTCTGATTTGAAAATGTTCGATTTTTCCCCTGCCGTTTTCCAGTCTTACTAATCAAGCTGACTTCAGCAGCAGTTTTGATGCTGTGAATCTGAGTTTCTTCAAAAGCTAATCAGGCTTGAAATTCAGAAAGTTTGTGTTCGGCTTTGAAATAAAAACTGACTCCAATCATGTATGTGTATTCTACCAAAAGTAGCTATCATTGCATCAGCATATTGTTCTTTGTGCCATCCATTGCTCGTGTAGTTTTGTAAATGGGCTTGAACTGAGTGGAGTTATCTGCTCTCTCTGGTGGCTGATGCCTGCGAGCAAATGCCAGGGAGTAGAGAATTGTTAAAAAATTCTGAATCTGAATCTGTAGGGGAAGACTGTCAGTGGAGTGGCTTGTGAGAGATAAGCCTGAAGGCGGCATGCCAATGTTTGAGGGACGCTGTGCTAGCAAGGTCCTTCAGTCTGCCATCTCAGTGGAGGCAGGGGATGAAGATGCATGTGGCAGCAAAGACTCAAGGGCTATTGATGTGTTAGAAACCACGGAAGCGCCTGAGAATAGTCACGTAGGACTTAGGCCTTCTTCTTCTTGCAGATGACACCAAGCTGGGTGGAAGTGTCGATCTGCTGGAGGGTAGGAAGGCCCTACAGAGGGACCTAGACAGGCTGGATCATTGGGCCGGGGCCAACTGTATGAGATTCAACAAGGCTAAGTGCCGGGTCCTGCACTTTGGTCACAACAACCCCATGCAACGCTACAGGCT